AGACCTACAGAAGGAGACCCTACAATAACAAACCAGCATGAAGAGACCCCACAGCACCAGACTGAGGTGGGGAGACCCTACAATAACAGAGCAGAGTGGGGAGACCCCATGATAACAAACCTCCATGGGGAGACCCTACAATAACAGACCTGTGTGGGGAGACCCTACAACAACACACCTCCATGGGGAGACCCTACAATAACAGACTTTGTGGGGAGACCTCACAATAACAAACCAGTGTGGGGAGACCCTACAATAACAAACCAGCATGAAGAGACCTCACAGCACCAGACTGGGGTAGGGAGACCCTACAATAACAAACCAGTGTGGGGAGACCCCATAATAACACACTTTGACGGGGAGGCCCCACAATAACAAACGGGCATGGGGAGACCCTGCAGTAACAAAGCAGAACAGCAAGACCCCACAATAACAAACCTGTGTGGGGAGACCCTACAATAACACACCTTGATGGGGAGACCCCACAATAACAAACCTGCGTGGGGAGACCCCGCAATGAGAGAGCTGTGTGGGGAAAACCCTACAATAACAGACCTACAGAAGGAGACCCTACAATAACAAAGGACCCCCCCCTGCCCCACCCCAGATTCCCGGGGGTGGCAGAGCAACTGGGGGGACCCTCTGGTCACACACCTGTATGGGGACCTCCCTGTGACAAAGGGCTGTCACTGGGGAGACCCTACAATAACACACAGTCCCTGTAGATCCCCAGACCCCACAATAACCATAGTGCCCCCCCCCCATAGGGCCCCAGACCCTACAATAACACCAGCGACCCTACAATAACACACAGCCCCTATAGAGCCCCAAACCCCACAATAACACAGTCCCTATAGAGCCCCAGACCCCACAATAACACCAGCGACCCTACAGTAGTGCACAGCCCCTATAGAGCCCCAGACCCCACAATAACAACAGAGACCCTACAATAACACACAGCACCCATAGAGACCCAGACCCCAAAATAACGATAGTGACCCCCCCATAGAGCCCCAGACCCCACAATAACAACAGAGACCCTACAATAACACACAGCACCCATAGAGACCCAGACCCCAAAATAACGATAGTGACCCCCCCATAGAGCCCCAGACCCCACAATAACAACAGAGACCCTACAATAACACACAGCACCCATAGAGACCCAGACCCCAAAATAACGATAGTGACCCCCCCATAGAGCCCCAGACCCCACAATAACAACAGAGACCCTACAATAACACACAGCCCCCATAGAGACCCACACCCCAGAGTAACACACTGCCCCTATAGAGCCCCAGACCCTACAATAACAACAGCGACCCTACAATAACACACAGCCCCTATAGAGCCCCAGACCCTACAATAACAACAGCGACCCTACAGTAACACACAGCCCCCATAGAGCCCCAGACCCCACAGTAACACCAGCAACCCTACAATAACACACAGCCCCTATAGAGCCCCAGACCCTACAATAACAACAGCGACCCTACAGTAGCACACAGCCCCCATAGAGCCCCAGACCCCACAGTAACACCAGCAACCCTACAATAACACGCAGCCCCTATAAAGCCCCAGACCCCACAATAACACCAGCAACCCTACAATAACACACAGCCCCCATAGAGACCCAGACCCCAAAATAACGATAGTGACCCTCCCCATAGAGCCCCAGACCCTACAATAACACACAGCCCCCACAGAGACCCACACCCCACAATAACACACAGCCCCTATAGAGCCCCAGACCCCACAATAACAACAGCGACCCTACAATAACACACAGCCC